CCACCCCCACCAACACTGGCAGGGCATGCAAGAGTATATAAACAGAGAGCAAACCCCATCCTATTCCAGCACTGAAGATGTTACCTAGCAGGGTCACGAAACGTTTGCAGGAAAAGAACCAAGCTCAGAGAACCCCAAGGACTCCACAAAAAGGATAAAGTTTTAGATTTAAGCAGTTATTGTCTCCATAGAACCAGGTGGTGAATTCTGAATGCACCTACTAGTGAATAAATGTTATCATGATCTAAACAGATTGTTATTGTTGTTGTTTTTCTTCCTGGACTAAACTGCACTCTGATCCAACTATATCAGTATTGGTTCTTAAAGGAAAAGATGTTGCCATGGACATGGCATTTTAATTGTGCATTTATTCTCCCTAGGTGATTTGAATGTGTATGGCTTTGGTTTTCAAGGATTGGCAATTTGTTTTGCAGAGCTGTAGCATCCACGCAGGCAGCCTTTGCTTGCATTACCTGCTTGATTGGTTATGTGTCAGTCTGGAATGTAGTCTGCCATACGGAAATGTTTATTGAAAGGTCTTCACAAGAGTGACAACTAAATGAGGTTGGGTTAGGTGGCATTGCTTTCTAGTTAGTCTGACATGGAAGTTGACATTTCCTGTGTTCGCATGTGATACACTGTACAGGCTTAGAATTATAAATATTTCTAATTGGTAGGTTACATAGGAAATGCCTGGAAGATTGGTCACAAACCATTAGAATTATGACTGGGGGAAAGAGATTTTCTTCCCGTTGAGACTCTGATACCTGTGACACATGTTTTGTCTTAGATTTCATGGCAATTCATTCATCTAGTGTTACTTCATAATGTATGTTATTGTTTGGAACATGTTAAGCCAGGTAGTAAGTTAGTAATCTTCTCAGAGAACTTTTATTAATGGGCAGATTAAAAGCACAATATGTAAAAAATAATAAAGAAGCCATTCCAACCCCTGAGGCAGATCAAAATGGAAGGGAACAAGGCAGCTCTACTTGATGTGTAGTTGAGCCAGTATTACTTAACTTGCTCTTGCCCTAGAATTGCTGTAGAGGTGAACAGCTTAAGAAAAATACATTTTTTGCATAGTGCACAGTTCACTGTTATACACTGGTCTGACATAATGAACCTGCGTTTCTTTATTCACATCAGGTGCTAATTATCTAAGACCTATTAAAAGCTGTAGCATTACCTTGCTTCAATATAACGTTTTCTGCTTTACAGCATTAGGATTTATG